AGTATTACTAAATAATATTAGTATAATATAGAATATAGATAGATATTATAGAAACGCTTTATCTTTCTAATAGTATATACTATATTTACTTACTTATTTATTTACTACTTTCTAATATTATAAGTAGAATAAGCTAGTTCTTTACTAATTTTATAATCTAATATTATTTATATAACTAAGTCTAATACTCTCTAATATTCTCTATTAATAAATCTAACTATTATAGTAGTAGGCTTCTAGCTAACTACTAGTGTCTTATCTTTATAGCTCTACTTTTAGTATATTTAGATATAGAATTATTAGCACTATAAGTTCTACTCTATAGTTATATAGTAGAGCTCTATAGGCTTTAATTAGTAGCGTATTTTATAGAGTTATTTCTAAAAGAGTATAGATATTTAATTTATCTAATAAGTAGCTCTAACGTTAGTAGTAGTACTTCTTTAGTTAGTAAGTTATATATAGATAGTCTAGTATCTAATTATAATATAACTTAATAAAGTTAGTATATAGTGTTCTAGATATAGAGTAGTTTAAACGTAGTATAGTGTAATAAGTATATTAAGTTAAAATTATATTACTAGTAAGATACTACGTTATAGAAAGAGAGAGCTATATAGGTAGAGTTTTAAAGTTTCTCGCCTAATATAGAGCTAGGTCTAATTAGATAGAGATTATAGGTTTAATCTATAACACTACTACTCTAAGCTACTCTTACCTCTCTTTATCTATCTTTAATACTTTTAGTCTCTTAACACTATATTCTATCTAATACTATTTTAGCTACTTATAGAGATATTATTCTATTAGCTTTAATACTCTTAATAACTTTAATACGCTAATATAGATAGAAATAGTATCTCTACTGTAAAGATACTCTACCTCTAACCCCCCCTAGCGCGCTACAGTAGGCTCGGGCGCTCGTTGCGGGGCGGCCAACGGTTAACGGCTGCCGAGATGCGATTCGCGGAGTGCTGTGCCTACGTCTCTGTCTTTCGCACTGGACACTGAGGGGTCTTCTCTTTCTTTCGCGCTCGAACTTGAGGGGTCTTTTCGCCAGGGCAACCTCGATTGTGTACATTGGCAATGGGATAGTCGGTAACGGTGGTTTGACCCACTTGGTACGACATACGAGCAGGACGGAAAGATCCGACGGTTCTGATGGTTCTGAGTGATGGCTGGATGCGTCGCGGGCGGCGCAGCACGGCGCTGAGAACGGCGAGCTGGAGCTTTACCAAGATGATATCGGAGATTGCATCACCAAGCTTTTGGTGGGTAGGCGTATTTCGGAAAGGATGAAAGGAACTGGCGATCTATAATATACCTAGGTATACTTAGGTATGAGATATACGCTCTACTTCTCGTCGCATTAGTCCACCTTCCCTTCATTCATTCCCTTACTACGTTCGTTCAGTCCTTATCGAAGACTTCCACCATATCATGGGTTTCTCTCAAATAGCCCTGCTGGCTTGCCTGACAGTTGCAGAAGCTGCAGCAACACCAAGATCCCAGCCACTGCACCCTGTGCACCAAGCAAACGACAGCTTGCCGGCGATATTTGGTTCAAATGATACCACCACCCTCAAAGGGACTGCTGCAGCCCCGGGCGTGGTTATCCTTGACTACGGGGCCAATGTCGAAGGCCATCCCACTTTCGAAGTCCTCTCAGCCACCGGCGACACTTCCGGTCTAGAGATCACGTATAGCGAGACTAGAGCAGTACTGGACAGTTTCCAAACTGTAAGTCTTACGCCGCAAGTGCTTGAAACTCATACTGATCCATGTCGCAGAGCGATGGTCCAATCACTTTGGCCGCAGCTATGGACACTTACAGAGTCAATCAGTACAATGTTACTGGGCCCATGATACATACCAATCGACTCATTCAGGGAGGCTTCAGATACCAGAAGCTCAACCTCTCGACGACAGGCGAACTGGTCTTGAAGAACGTTGGTGTGAGGCCTACGATTCCGAACACACCCCTTGATCAACTACCGGGATACTTTGAGACCTCGGATGAGGACCTCAATCAAATCTGGAAGGTTGGAGCGCGGACTGTTCAATTAAACGACATTCCTGCGCACTCCATTTCGGCGTTCTGGCAGGTCTCCTCCGAAGGTTCTCTGGTAGAGAGCCAAGCACCTCAAGTTCTGTCAGGCGGCGCCGCTGCTGGACTGATGAGTTACCAGCTTGCATTCGAAGTCAAGCCTGTCGTCAAAGGGTTTGGATTCTCTGTACTGGCTGACACTCTCAACTCCGGAATCTATATTTTCTGCAATATTGCCAATGGATCGATCTCAGCACACTTCGGATCCACTGAGGATTTCCCTCCACTTGCATTCGCAAAATTGCCCGCAAATATAACTCTTGGTAGCTGGCACAAAGTGGAAGCCACTGTGGATACGACCGACATCGCTGTATCTTTCAACGAAGTTCCCGTTCTTCAATTTTCGCAGACTTCTGCATTTTTCGGATCTTTTGGATTGGGCGCGTCATTCGGCCACTCTGCCGTTTTTCGCAACCTGTCTGCTACGACTCTGACAGGTGAATCGATTTATTCAGCCTCTTTGATGGACGAGGCGTTCTTGCCGGACTTTCTGATGGGCACAAACCCGCACGACACAACGGTTGACGGCTCGAAACGCGACCGCATTGCGTATGCAGGCGATCTGGACATTGCGCTCGTGTCCTCGCTGTCGAGCACCAACGGCATCAGCTACATCAAAGGCACGCTCGATCTTCTCGGTTCCTTCCAACTGACCCCAGGGTTCTTCGCACCCACGGCAAAGATCCAACAAGAGCCACTTTCCGCTCCGGTCGATGCCAATGTCACTGGTCTGATTGGCTACTCCTTCAACCTCCTCACCGCAGCTGCCAACTTCTACATGCGCACCGGCGATGTCGATATGCCAAAGAAGTGGGCACCCAAAGCTGTACGCATGTTGGACTGGGCACACTCTCAAGTCCTGCCCGAAAGCGGGTTGTTGAACATCACTAACCCTGCCTTGGGCGGCGACTGGAATTACTACGACCCGTCACAGGCGGGTGTTGTAACCAAGTTCAACATGGTCTACGCATACGCACTCCAGGAGTGCATCAGGCTCCTTGCAGACGGTGGCATCGACACCAAGCCCTACATTACCCGCCTTGATGCTCTGCGCATCGCGATTGACCAGAACCTCTGGTCGAACGAACTCAACGCCTACTACCTCTCCCAGTCCATCAACAACAGCTTTGCACAGGACTCGAATGCCCTGGCCATTCTCGCTGGCGTGACCAGGTTCAACCACACGTCATCCCGCGTTCTGAGCACCCTCAAGCAGCTTTCAACATCAAAAGGCCCTCTTGCTTTCTCGAACGGAACTATCGCAGCCGGGTTCTCGAAGTTCATCAGTCCCTACGCAAGCGCCTATCACCTTCGTGCCGCATTTGAGGCCGACGACAGCGAGACGACCATGGATCTGCTCAAAAGCCTATGGGCGCCCATGGCCGACCCGCAGGGAGCCAACTACACCGGATGCTTCTGGGAGACTCTGGACGCAGCCGGTGCGCCTGCGCTGGGGAGGGGAACTAGCCTCTGCCACGGTTGGGCTGCAGGTCCCACTGGGGAGCTCAGCGATCATGTCTTGGGGGTGAAGCCCGTAACTCCAGGGTATACCGAATGGCGAGTCGCTCCTGTTACGCTGGACTTGAAGTGGGCTAGGGGCAGAGTCCCCGTGCCCGGGGGTGAGATCTCCGTCGCTTGGAATGCTACTGGGCGTGTTATTACTAGGTTGGAAGTGATAAGCCCTAACTGTACTTTGGGTACGGTTGTCCTACCTCTGTCGTCGCAGAAAGGATATGTTGGAGGCACTTTCAAGGTGAATGGGGAGGTTGTGGCGAGAAACGCGACATTCAAAGTTGCAGGGGGAAAGCCTTTTGTTCTCACATACGATGTCTAGCCTCCGCAGTGTGGTTCAGTCCTGTTCCGAAAACCTTGGGCGTTAGCTTGATGCGAACGTTGTACAAAATTGTAGATGTAATCAAAATTTTAATCCGACCCTGACTTCACTAGTATTCCTGTGAAGCAAGCCCATCGCAGCGCGATATTGTCCAGCAAATAAGAAGTCCAATCGTTAGTTTGTTATATGTACTAGAATCGCATTTGCGGCCAGTACCTGTGCCTTAATGTGGGTAAGCAGGGTCTTCTTTGAGTTTAGGTATGAAGAAGCTTGCCTGCTTACTTGAGACGACGAGGTTGTTTCTCGTCACACTTTACGCGACGTTTTCTGGTGTCTGTTGGTAAGCTTTGACAATGCCATCGCGGAGTGCGATGAGGATAAGTGATGCGATAGCCATACCGCGTCGATGTTGATGACACGAGATGGATGGCTCCACAAAATCCGGCAGGGCGTCGTATCCGCCAGAACTCAAACGCCCTTGACTCATCTCTTCATGAAGGATGTTCACGCCAACACGCTCAAAAGCCACTTTTTATGCTGCAATGCATCGTCCACATCTCCTTAACATACATTCTTCTCAAGATCGTGACGTGTAAACGCAGGAAAGGTGTATTGCCGTTCCCCATCAACCCGCATCACCTAGCGCGTCCCAGTGTGGGGTAAACCTCTCCACGCGGCAGTACCCCTCCCGTACCTACAAAAGCCATGACGATATCGCACGCCCTACGAAGAGCAACAACACTGAACATCCACCGAGCAAAACCCCACGCAGTCTTAACAGGCCGTATTTCTTTCTTCCCAGGAAACAAGCAATTCGCATCTTATTCCCGCAACATGAACACCCTGCAAGAAGCAAGCCGGGTATACAAGGCGTTCCAGAAAGGAGGGCCGACTTTCGGAGGATGGCAGGTAAACAACACACAACATGAGGTTGACTCGATGTCAAGGCTGATGCTGTGACAGATGCTTCCAGGCACGAATCACGCGCGGGCAATTGCCCGTTCAGGCGTTGATTGGATATGCGTCGACACCGAGCACGGCAACATCAACGACAGCCAAATGCACGAAGCCGTAACCGCCATCGCCCACGCGGGTGTAAGCCCTCTCGTTCGCATCGCCGCGAACGAACCCTGGATGGTAAAACGTAAGTTACCCTTTGCCACCTACGCCTCCATCCCAAGGTCTCCAAGTGGCATCTAACACCACCCCAGGCGCCCTCGACAGCGGCGCCCACGGCGTCATAGTCCCGCTCATCTACACCGTCGACGACGCCAAAAAGCTCGTTTCCTCCGCCAAATTCCCGCCAGAAGGAACGCGCGGCTTCGGCTCACCGCTACCAACACAGTGTTTCTCAAACGAACCACTAACCTACTACCTGCGCCACGCAAACACTTCGCTCCTTACCATTGTGCAGATAGAAACAGCGTCGGCACTAGCCTGCTGCCGTGGAATCGCCGCCTTGCCCGGCGTTGACTGTTTGCTGATCGGGCCCTTTGATCTTGGTAACAACATTGGTCATCCTATTTTGACTCCGACCATGGATAAGGAGTTGGAGGAGGCGATTGAGACGATCAAGGAGGCGGCGCATGCGGAGGGGAAGAAGGTGGCTATGTATTGCAACTCGGGCGAGGATGCGAGGGGGTATGTGGAGAGGGGGTTTGATATGGTTAGTGTGTTGACGGATCAGATGGGGATTACGGGGGCGTTTGAGAGGAGTTTGGGGGTTGCGAGTGGGAAGGTTGAGGGGAGTGGGGTCAAGGGGGTGAAGGGGTATGATGGGAAGTAAATGCGGAAGCGATGTATTGAAGTGCTGATCCCACGATGGATTATCTACTTGAGACACCATGTTCTTGTGATTGAAGCACGATAGATGCAGCGATGTAGTCGCAAAAGCCGATTTGTATTTGCTGTAGATGGGTGTCGGAGATCGCGAAGATGCTCAGGCGTGGCGTGACAGTACGCCACTCACACACCTGATTGTGTATCGTTCGGGTCGCCTTCTCCGTGTCTGACGAAACGACGTGTCGTCCTTAGCGCATATGGCTTGATAGCATACCTGTTTGCCGCCTGCCGGAATCGATTCGAGGAAATCCCGTAGCAAACGATATTATCGATCCAATCTTGGTCCCACTGCTCGTCGCTCCAATCTTTGCGTTCGAACAAAAACGCATCTGAATCCCAAGGCTCACCTACGTCCCCTTCAAACTTGACGACTGACGAGCCTTCTATTATCTCGCGGATCATCTTTGCAAAGTTGGTGGGGAGAGCCAACCAGAAATAGTAATCCAGCGTATGTGACCTAGGAGGTGGGTCCTCTTTCAGAAGCCGATATTGCTCGAGTCGCGCCTCCTGCGTAGCCGCAGCGTACTTGATCAGTTTCCAGATCTCGGAGATCTCTCTGGTCGAGCCATCGATGACTAAGCTGAAGGAATGGAGTGGCATCCCGCATGACAAAAGGTTATACGCCTCTTCGATCCAAGGAATCAGTACCCAAAAACATTCCGTAGGTCTCAGCCAGTCGAATTCGACATTGGGATCGAATGTATCGAACCATATGAAGCCTTCCGGGAGTAAGTTGTTGAACAGGTCGATGCGCCTTTCTATGTGAAGGTTTGGGTTCTCACGACAGAAAGGATTCAGGCCGCGTGCATGAAGTTCAGGCCGAGACACCGATTTGAAGTTTTCGTTCAGTATGAGGTTGCGCAAGTTACACCTTCGTTGCGGCGACATCTGCCGTACTGTTGACGTTAGTGGATATCCGCTGGAAGGCACATCGGCAGTAGAAATATGGACTGTTCGACTTACAAAAGTCAATTGCGATTGATGCCGCAGAGAAGAACCATCGTTCCGCAGCTGCTATCATGTGGCTATCCATACCCGGAAAGTAGAAGATGCCCTCGTCGGTCATGGGAAGATCGGTGTCGGTGTCGCTGGGAAAGCAGACCAGGTTTTCGAGCTTTGCCAGCTCGTCGTCGTCCGGCATTGCCCATGGGTCGGGCTCCCAAGAATACACATCGTGCAATGCGCCTTCGACGAACTTATTCATTTGCGATTCACCCGGGAGCCTATCGATGGGACACAGTCTCACACCAAATGTCTCGCCAGCAAGCCTCGCAAACTCCGGACCGTTACGCTTTCTTGCACACAGTAGTGCGTATTGAAGAGCCTTGTCGAATGCGCCAGCAGCTAATTCGCCTTCGTCGCCAGGACCTTCAGAAGCTAACAGAAGGTCGGCCTGCTCTGCCACTGACTGTTGCAAAGGCTCTCTGAACCAAGCTTTGACCGATGGATAGCGAGTATAGAGATCAAGGAAGTCCTCGTGTTGTAGCAGATCAAACACCTGAATTAGCATTATCCGCTTTTGACGCTCGGTGTATCGAAGCACTAAGGCATATAACGTCAGTGAGAGAAGGATGAGAGTTCATGAGTGGATGTAGACTTACTGCATTTAAAACGGCCTGCTCGAGAAGCTAAGCCCATATAGGAGCGCCCGTCGTTGTAAGAGAGATGAGTACTGAAATGAATCTTCCTGAATACCATGTGCTTCAGCTCTTCATAGGCAATTCAACAAGTGATGATTAGACCGGGGCGAACTGTTTGCCTTGGCTCAGTTGTATAGAACATCTTGCCAGTTCCACTGTCGTAATGGTAACCATCGTCTCCAGTAACATAGTATGCGTAGATGACATCTCGAACTTCGCGTGGCAGACGGAACAGAGACGACTGTAACTGCGCGGAGTAGTAGTTTGTTCGTGGAGCGGTCATGAACGGGAAACCGTTCCAGAAGGCGTATTTCTTGGATGCCATGAGTTTTGCAGTATCGTGTACGATTTTGAGGTAGGCGAAGGCGAGATCTTATATTGCAACGACATTGCAAAAGAGGCTGCGTATGATTGTACCCGTACCCTGGTTGACTGGGACGCTGTGGAAGAGTCTGGTTCGCGCGGCCGACGACGGATGATTGAATGGCTGGTCTTGGTTCGTGCTGCCTGGCGTGACTCAGCCAGTGCGTCACTATCCGGGCTGCTCTCATTGACGAGCCATGTAGGCACATTCTCCTTCAGGCTACAGCATCACACACATATCAGTTCACGTTGTTCACAGCATGGTAGTGGTAATTGCCAGATGGAGCGCCGACTGCGATTGATGAAGTGCCACTGCGCTAGCTCCGCCCCGCTCCGCCCTCGGCCCGGAGTACGCGTCCAACATGTCGCGCTCAGCGAAACCGACTCCACGTCTCCCACCATCTCCCCAGCAGACCCAACATCCACCCCACACCCGTGCAGCGCCTGTCGCATGGTTCGAAAGACGTCTGAACGTCTGGCAAGACCCGGCGCCGATCCGTGTCGCATCCGCAGCTCTTCGTCTCTACCGACTATCCAACACCCGGCGATGCATCTGGCGCGGGATGTGTCCATCTTGCCACGACCACCACTCCACCTCCACCCAGTGCCCCATGCCACGCGCAATGACGCCCAACGCCTGGTGGCGTAGGCTACCGCGCCCTCGCTCTCACTGTTCACCTTCACCGACCGCCTCATGCCCGCGCTGAGACGACTGCCGAACACGCAGCGTAGTCCCGCATTCGACCATGTCACATCCTCGGCTCTGTTGCCTCCCTCCCACTGGCCATAGACCACACTCTTGACTCCATGTCGCTGCTCTTCGCCTGCGTCCTTCGCCCCTCGTCCGCGCCGAAGCGGCCCGCGCCAGGCAGCGATGCCGTGTCCTCAACGCTCTCTTTCTCCCGATCGCGACGTCGACGTCGGTATTGCGCATGCGATGCGGCTTATGCGATGCGGCTCATGCGGAGAGCCGATCGCTCGGTAGGTCACGGGCTTCGCGTGTTGTTACAATTGGCTCTGCTTAAACTCTCCAAAGAGTGGAGCAGGTTCGTGGCCCTCGCCGCGGACAGGCTGCAACTCTGCGACGCCATCCGGCCGCTCTACGTTCTCGATTAGCACACGGATGCCTACCCACCAGTGGGTAGACTGGCGGGTAGGGCTTTTTGCCAGAGTCTGAGGATTGCGATTTCTCTGCGAAGAACAACATTTCTTCTACAACACTATCGACGACTATAGAGAATATCTAAAAGTCAAGTCCTGTTTGTCTGTAACATCAGCACCAGCCTCGTATACTGTGACAGCCGAATCTTTCTCAAGTTCGTCCCTCCTCTTGTTCTCACTCCATCCGTGGTACCAATAGTACGCCATAAGCAAGATAAGAAGAACCCAATCCACCACCGAAACAATCAAGCCGGCAGTATACCGAGGCGCAGTCTCCGTCGTCCACAGCTGTGGGAATCCAATACAGCCAGAACAGTAACCAACAAAATACATTGTATTGACGACGGATCTCTTCGTGTTGCCCCGAATATTAGACGCGTTCAAACTCATGGTCAGCGAGAAGATACTCGAGATGCAAGAGCCGAGCCAAGCCGCTATGATTATGGGCCAGCCTTGAAGAGGTAGTACCAGCAGCATAATACATCCGGCTAGGGGTATCGAAACGAGTCCGATTATGACAAGAGAACGTTTCTGGGGCCATATCAAGCACGCGGTGATTCCAATCCAAATGGCTACAATCTGAACCGCTCCTGAGGGCGATCCGTGCAGTAGAGTGTCGCCGGAGGTATAGCCGAGTTGTTTAATGATCAAAGACGCGAACTTTTAAGAAGGATGATTAGTGTGAGTATGGTGTCTTGAAAGGGCTGACTTACAGTGAGCACTGGAGCCGGAGCAGTGACGAGGATACCGAAAGCAAACGCAGCATATGTCTTGAAGTCGAATGCAGCCTCCTTGAGTTGTGCCATAGAAAAGGATGTCTTGTCGCCGCCGTCGTGATCTTCAGAGAGCCGATGACGAGCAGCGACCTTCTCTTCCGCGGTCAAAAACCAAGCCGTATCAGGACCGTCGGGCATGACGAAATAGAAAACTACTCCGCAGAGCGAGGTGAATATCCCACAGACAAGGAACATAAGTCTCCAAGATGCCAGCGATGATTTGTTGTGTTCTCCGATGCCGTACATGAGTAGAGAGCCGACGATTTGCGCAAGAGCATTGCATGTAATCCAGCAACTATCACACATTCTGTTAGCTTGCCGTCTCTGTTCCTCTTTTCTCGCGACGTACCCTATGCGTAGCGCATGCTCGCTTTTCTTGTACCAGATGCTTGTAATGGTGATGAAGGCTGGACTGACTGCCCCTTCTGCTGCTCCTAGAAAAAAGCGCACAGCTAAGAACTGATGGTATGTTTTTGGAGCGGCGAGGCACATGCAGACTGCGCCCCAGACAACACTGTTGAAACTTAGTCATCGGATGCATAATCTGGCGGTAATGGATTTACATTGTAATTCCAACGAACTTGGACAGTCTGAAGCGGCTCATGAGGTAGATGAACGGGAACTCGGAAGCAAGCTGTCCAACGTAAAATATGGAAGAGGTCCATGCGAACTGGTTGCCCCTCAAGTTCAGGTCAGTGATAAGACCATACACTGATGCATAGCTCAGGCTCTGCTTGTCTAGATCTGCTCATTCGTCAGAGACATGTTCCTTGGTCGAGAATCCTGATCTTACACTGGAAGAAGAAAACGAAGCACATCTGTATCGATCGAGGTTATAAGCTTGTGTCATCGCAAGAGCAGCACTGGGAGGGTTACCATTGGCAAGACTACCATATCAGTCTTTTTGAGGACGCGTTTTTCCAGAGCCAACATAGCGAGATCTTCAGTCTCTGAATTTGACTGAGTGTCATTGGCCAAGGCGGTATCTGGCTGTGCCTTCTCGTCGCTGGCGATGTGACTTGCCATGTTGGCGTCGAAGGCAAGTACGAGATTGACGAGAAATGTTAGAATCCGTTGAAGTACAGTCTTACTGTCCAACAAGTTCAAGGTTCTGGTCACGACAAGTAAGATATATGAACAGTCAGGATAAGGCGTATCGTCGCTATCAGGCTACTTTGCCGAACGTTGGCAGGGGTTGAAGCCGCGCGAAGCTAGACGCCGCCTGTGCCGAATACAAGTCACACACGCGATACTATCTACCCAGTGAATCATGGAGAGATAAATGTGCCCCTATCGTATTCTGCATAGCGCGCTGAGCACGACGGTATGCGACGATACATTTCCACACCTGTGGCGCCGAAACACACGAAGTTTGGTTTTGCCAGGAGCTTGGAATGCGGGGAGTTATCCACAAAGCTAGCAGCTCGCTAGCTAGAAGGGTCTACTTCTCAAAGATAGCACATATACCCGATGCTAAAGTATGACTCGGGTCGGGTATCTGTACCCTGACCACGGGTAAGCTCCAACTTTCAACACCCGCTCGGATGGGAGACGAACAACAGCACGGAGCAGACCCGTTCAATATCCACAACGTTCGGAAAAATCATTGACTATCAATTGAGTAATCAGAATGGCAATCCGGCATGATCTGGTACCTTAAGATAGTAGAAGTGATATCGGTTCATTTTCCTAGCTTTCATCACCCATTTTCCGCTGTTTCTCACGCATTTGTTACCGAGCATATCCCTTGACGCCATGGTATCTGCATCGTCATACCACGGACAACTGCTTAAGCCGTGGACACCTCCAGCACAAAAAGCCTATATCTTCACCAATGTCAACCTAGTGGATGTCGAGGCCGGCGTAATTCACGAGAATGCTACTGTCAAACTGTCCGGAGGACGAATCGAACAGGTCAAGCTTCAACACAGCTCCGAGGGCATGCTCAAATCGTCCAATCTTGCTGACGTCGCGACACGAGTCGATCTTCGAGGAAAATACCTCTGTCCGGGATTGTTCGATTGCCATGTCCACATCATTGCAGTGCCTGGCGAAATACAATGGCAAGATACTAAATCTCTGAACCCAACGACATCAGCCTACAGACACGCGCATGTTTGTAAGCAAATGCTCGATAGAGGCTTTACCACAGTAAGAGATTGCGGCGGAGCGCAATTATCTCTTAAGCAATCGATCGAAGATGGCCTTGTGCAGGGACCTAGAATGTTCATCGCGGGCAATTTCCTGAGCCAGACAGGCGGGCACGGAGATACGCGAGGCTCCCACGACCACTCAAACATTGAATGCTGCGGCGGCGGCTCATCAAATTTCCCATCCTTTATTTGCGACGGTGTGCCAGAGTGCTTGCGCGCAACGCGCGAAAACATTCGTACCGGATCCGACTTTATCAAAATCATGGGGGGAGGTGGTGTTTGCAGCCCGACAGACCGTATCGACAATGTTCAGTTCACGTCGGAAGAAATCAGCGCCATTACAACAGTCGCCAAAAACAGCCAGACGTATGTGACTTCTCATGCGTATACCCCGCAATCCATTCGGCAAGCGATGGAGAACGGAGTAATGGGTATCGAGCATGGCAACATGATCGATAAGGAGACAGCAGAGTTGATGGCCCAGAAGGGCGCATATCTCACCCCAACTCTGGTAACCTACACTGCGATGGGCGATGAAACGTTTACTGGATACATGCCTGCCGAGTCCATGGAGAAGAATGCGGAGGTATACGTGGCGGGGCTGCGAGGTCTTAAAATTGCTGCGGACGCTGGGGTAAACATATGCTACGGTTCTGATCTTCTCGGACATCTCGGTGTACGCCAGCTCGATGAGTTCACCATCCGAAGTAAAGTGCTACCTCCTCTGGCAATCTTACGAAGCGCGACCATCACCCCCGCCAAGATGATGCGGCAGGAAAACTTTCTGGGGCAGATCAAGCAAGGCTTCGCTGCGGATTTGCTGATTCTGAACGCAAATCCTTTGGAAGACATATCGGTTTTAGCACAGCCGGAGAGAAATCTCTTGGCTGTCATTAAAGACGGTAGAGTGTGTACGAGTAGATGGAGCTTGCTTGACGAGGATGCTCACGTGGTACGGCCGTTTATAGAATAAAGCTTATCGGATTCCTTAGATCGAATCTGATGTTTTTTGCCTGGAGTTGTGATGTTGCCTGTGCAATACATCATAGTCAGAGTATGCTCAACCCTAGCCATAGGTAGTCTGCCCGGTGTGGCCTCCAAGAAGCTGCGTCATATCCAGTACGTCTAACCGACCGTCATCCCACTCAAATCCTCGAGGAACCTCTCCTTGAAAAGTTGATCCGTTGAATGCATCGAAGTTCCAGTTAGCATTTCCCTGATCAAGCCAGCGATAGTCCAGAGTGTCAAGCATGTTGTTATTGGGGCCGACTCCGTACATGAGAGGGCTTTCGTGAGCGCGTATCCCAGAATCACTCGGCAGAGTTTCTGGATCGAGTTGAGAACACAAGTTGTCCGGCCGCGATTCATGACTTCTAGATGATTCTTGCTCTGACATCCAGTTCACCCAAGCTTGATATGAGGCCGTTATAGATGTTGGTTGCATGGAGCCTCCAACTGAAAGCCCGCCTTGGCCTCGGTATATTTTCTGACGCAAGTCGGAAGCAAGTCGCCTGAGTTGCTCAATAGTATGAAGATCCGACGAAGCTCCACGGCAGCCTCCATGTGCCATGTAACGTAACATGTCAACGCCATCGTCTATGATTCTGCTCGTCTCGTCTCCGTGCTGCAGGATACTATGGAGTATCAATATGATCAATGCTGCGGCTGAAGCATGATGATCTGTGAACGAGAAGCGGCAGAGCAAGTTGTGCTTCTTCAAGACCAGTATTAGCTCAATCGTCGCCTTCGCAGCGTCGACGCAGAGGGTCGCAAGGTCCGTCCGACTTTGGGGCTGTTCCGGTGCGGGGGTTGCAGAGTCCGATAAAGCTTGAATGCGTTCACGCGAGACTTGGAGAAGGGAGGCACGGCCCATGAGGATCCACGCCCAGTGATAGTGTATATGCAAGTGAACGGTCGTACGGAAATTCCGTTCGCTGGGAAGCAAGTCGTTGGGATGGAGATTGGAGAAAAGCTGAGATCGCCACTCCTTCAATTGTTCTGACAGATCTTTGATGCTTGGTGGCTTCGATTCGAGAGGACTTACGTGACCGTCAGCATCCAACAATCGCTTTTGAGGCCTTCACTTACATGTTTTGTACGATTTTCGAAATGATACGCGTTAACTTCAAGTATTCAATTTGATGTTGCACGTTCGATTGATATTCGAGGTTGTCCAACGACGGATGATGTTTAGGAAAGGGTGCATCGATCGCGTCTTCTGCGATGCTAGAAGGCCGACCTAAAGCAATACTTGTGCGTCTAAGACAGCATTAGCTGAGGCCAATCGTAGGAAAGGATGTGCCATACTTGTCTATAGAATAAACACTCCACCACAAACGATTGCGAACTTCCGTAATTCGAGGATCTAATGTCACGGCCAATGTCTTGCGGTGCAGCCCACTGGCAATTGACATCCTCATAGCTATTCCAAGGTAGAGATAGGACGTGTCTGGCAGATTGTATGGCAACTTGTACAGACCTGCCAGTAGACACACTTGGACTCCCTTCAGAGTACATGTGTCAATGACCTTTGGAATAAGCTTCTGAGCACTGTCGTAGAATTTCTTTCCAGGGTCTATAGGAAGCGGATCGTTGGATGTAGGTCGGGATCTCAAATGCGCAAATTGGCTACCGAAGGCAAAGACAAGCAAAGCGAAGCAAATAAATGCATCGTCAATCGCACTTCCAGATGATGTGCCAGTGTAATAGCTGTTGAGAGTAGTATAGAACCACTCTCTGTCGCAATAAAAGAACGTTGCCTCGACGTAATAGAAGAATGTGGAAACAAGGAATGCGGCGATCTCTTGGGGAGGGAATGCCTTCATTGCCTCGATTGACTCTTTACTGTGAACAGGCGGTGGCCTGACGATGTTGGCCATTTCCTAACACGGCGTTAATAAAAGCAACCTCACTATTGACATCAGCTATCAGATATACGACATACCAACGAACTTCGGTTGGATGAATCTAGGACCCCCTTTCGGGTAGTGGAATGCAAAACATCTTGAACACAAAGAAGGAAGCTCTCATTGGAACGGAGACCAGTATATTCTAGACGAAAGTGAGCATATAGAACGCAAATGTATTAATGTCACACTCAACACGTACGGGTCCGATCGAAATCCTCCACAATCAGAATAGCATCTTCTGGTTCTACGCTGGGGACCGGTGACGGCTCACCAGGCGATTGCGCTCCACAGTCCGACCTCGAGTCTGTTGGGCTTTTCCCAAATGAAGTCTGAACTGCTTCTGGCGCAGCAAGTGAGACGTTACTGTCTGCGGGGCGGCCCAAGACTCTAACTTGAGCTGTCGGCATCGAAGAGGGGGTTCCAACGTCCTTGTCTTCATGTCCAGAGCCAGGAGGATATTTGTCCATCTGCTGGCCGTTGACAGCGGCATTTGAGCTGGTGGCGGGAGAACCCGACGCTTGAGCTGCATATAAATCACACTCTTCACCCTTCTCCACACACCTCTCGCAAGCACCTACATTCCGTGCTATGCAGCGGCTCTTGCGAGCCCTACAGACTGCGCACCTGCATTGCGTGTCAGTTGCCACGGCGAGAAATTACTGTATCGCAGAGCCGCAAGATGAGCTGATCACTTACGCGCGTGAAACTCGAATTCGAATGTCATCAGGTACGCGTCTCAAACGCGGATTGCGTGGCATGACCAGATATTGCCGGAGTACATCACAGCCTTCCTGTTCTTGGGGATCGGAGTTTGCGCAAGTGCCAATGATCAGGTCGACACTTCCCCACCCGGCCCCTTATCTCACTCGGATCGCTTGAGATCATGCCGAGGCAGCGTGCAGGGCAAACCCCTGCTAGCTCTATCGGCGTCGATTCGGCTCGCTTATTGTCGCCAACGCCTCCCGGGTATTTGCCAACTGCAGCGGGTATGTGTTCCCTTCTTCATCGCACAATGCTGTCTCCATGCTTCCTGGGCGACTAGAGAAGATTTCCCCACTTTAGGAAGTCTCCCCACAGATTGATAGTGACAACTAAATCAATGCGGTGGGAGATCACGATGATGTGCAAATAGCGCTGTACTTGTCCATGACCCTTTCTTGTGAGCATGAGTTTGGTACTCATTTCCACCCTGGGAATATAACGAACTTGAGATCGTGCAATCATGCAACTATTCGCCGTTTTTCATCTAGTCCTTACTATGGGGGGATGCTGCTTTGCATCAAGGCCAACGGCAACAATAACAAACGGTACTGTCATCGGGCGTTCGCTGCCAGAGTTTAGTCAGGATGTCTTCCTCAGCATCCCATATGCGGACCCCCCTCCCAGATTCAATATTTCGATTGGTCGGACAACTGAATTCGACGGTACTTTTGATGCCGGGTGAGTAAAAAGCTCATTCAATTAACACTGACCTAAGAACATGCACAGCAACTATTCCACGGTCTGTCACGGAACAGGGTCTCCTCCCTCTGGTTCCAGATTCAGTGAAGACTGCTTAACACTGAACATCGTCCGCCCATCTTCCACGATAGCTGATTCCAGCGAATATCCGGTCGTAATCTGGATTCATGGCGGCGGATTCTGGCAAGGCAGCGCCGCAACACCTACGGAGAACGGAAGCTATATTGGTATGCCCTTTGTTCCCTTCACAGAACTAGCATGGCTAACATTGGCCGTCATTAGTTCAGCAGTCTGTCGCTCAGGGCACGCCAATTGTGGGTGATCTAAGATTCCTGAATGCCACCCTTTGTTGTATAAGCTTACTAAAGGCCTCTATAGATCTTCGTCTCCATTCAGTATAGACTTTTGTTTTACGGATTCCCTTCAGGAGATGAACCACATTCTCTTGGTGTAGAGAATCTTGGTTTGCTCGACCAGCAACTTGCTTTCCAATGGGTACAAGAAAACATCGCTGCATTCGGTCGATCTCCTTCGAAAGTCACCATCATGGGACAAAGGTTAGCGGGTCGCTTTATGCATGCAAGTGATATGCTGACCTTGAGCAGTGCTGGTGGCACTAGTATCCTCCAACACCTCGTCGCATATGGAGGTCGAGATGACTACCTTTTCCGAGCAGGTAAGCTTCAATCTTCTTTCAACCACGATAACGATAATAACATCTCTAGCTATCGTTCAGAGTGGCAGCTTCTACGACGTGCCATGCAACTGGAATATATCATCCATTCGAGAGGCTCGTTATCAAACGTTTCTCAACAAGACTGGTTGTGAAAACTTCTCGTGTCTACGCTCACTCGACAACGAGATACTTTTCAACGTTTCTTTACAGCATTACGACCAATTCCTACCTTCTATTGATGGTAACTTTATGACGGCACACCCTGTGGAATTGTTCAATCAAGCAAAGCAAATCTCTGTTCCACTACTAATGGGTGGTAAGTTTACACTTTCGCTATCAATAGTGAGTGAAGTAAGCTAAGAAAACATCAGTGAATGACGATGAGGGCAACATTCTCGTCAAGCCCGGTTCCAACACAACAGTGGACATAGAGCAGGCTCTGATAGGTCTAAATGGATGTAAGTCATGGCCCCGTTTCAGACATGATCGGATTGGACTGATAAGCTTCAGCAAGCTACGTAATCCAAAGCTCCGCGTTTAACAAGCTTTTTGAGTTATACCCGGATGATCCAACTGCCGGTGTCCCACATAACACTGGCCCCGGCGTGCTACCGACTGGATTTATGGATAAGACGGTTCGTCTTACTACATTTAGATGAAGCTCCTGCTGATACCAAACCCTAGAGCTATTTGATCTTCGGCGATGCGATCGAGCACTCGGTTCGCCGTTGGATGACAGGGCTATATGCGCAAGCTCGCAACCCTGTCTACAGCTACAGATTCGCTCAGGTTCCCTGGCATTCATCTGTACTCTTTGGAGCAACTCACAGTTCCGAGGTAAGTCGACCCATCAATTCGTACCCTCTCACTCGCATCAACGCCGAGACTGACGCGCAACATAGATGAGCTACGTGTTCGGTAAACCTG